TCATGTGATAGTTTTGTAATGCTTTATTTTGTCTAGTTAGAAACACTTGCTATTTTCAAAGTATCCATTCGTTATTCAATTTAATTTGTGATTCGTATTTAATTTGATTAACATCATTGAACATATTCGATTCGATTTGAAATTCATTTTACTACATTATATATTTTTTAAATATTTTCATATATAAAAAATATTATGCATATAGGATATATTATATGAATTTTATTTGTATCCTATATAATATATTAAATATATTATAATTATTATTGAATAATTAAACATTCGATAATTTTGAATTGAATATGTGCCTATTTTGGATTTATATTCGGATAAACTTTGTTACTGAAAATTATTCTTATCGAATTCAAATTCAAGAAAAAAAATTTACGAATTCGAATAACCAATCGATTTATTTTTTATTTTTTTTTACATTTAAACTGTACTTATGTTCATTGTTCTAAAAGAATGACATCTTAATCTTATTTTTTAAGTACGTATATTTGTTTAGAAAGTATTCATGTCCACAAATAGCTATATATACACTACAAGAAAACACTTCAATTCCAACGGCAAAAATTTCCGTTGGAAATTCCAATGAATATTCCAACAAACTTAATTTTATGTTGGAATAAGTGTTGGATGGTTGAGGAATTCCAGCGGATTTTTTCCGTTGGAATAGCTGTAGAAATTTATTTCCATAGGATTTTCCGTTGGATTTTAGCTATTCCAACGACCGTTTTTCCCACGAATTTTTATACGTAGGAATATCCGTTGGAATATCTATTCCAACGAATATATAAAGAATTCTAACGGAAAATTTCCGTTGAAATGTAAGAGGTTTTTTGTAGTGATATATTTATTAAAATACTATCATGCATGCATGGAATTACTAATTACATATGTATTTGATCTCACTTAGGGTTAGGGAATATTTGATGAAGAGAAGGTGAACGAGTTCAATTTTCCCTTCTACTTCACTTCTCCACGAGAGTTGGAACAAATTATAGAACAAAATGGATGTTTCAAAATAGAAAAGATGGAGGGTTTGACTGAAGTCAAAAGCGAGGTCGATTTTATCCATAACCTCCAATACGCGTCCATGTTCTTCCGAGCCACCACATCGGAGCTTATAGGGAATCACTTTGGGCATGAAATACTCGATCGAGTCTTTCATACTCTTTTCCCACAAAAACTTGCCAGAGAAAAGAATCGCGTAATCTCATCTTCGCCTTCGATATTCTTGTTCGTGCTTCTCAAACGCCAGCCGGATATTCTGCAAATTAATCTAAGTGATGATTGATGGAATAACTAAGGTTTGATTATAATTATATGTGATTCCAAACATTTTATCTATTGGTTGTGAGTGATTTTCTTATGTATTGCATTGTTGTTTAATTGATGAATGAAGAAGGCCTTGATTTGGAAAAATTGTATCACAAAATGGATGCAGAACAATTTTGATTGTATCCTTTTAAGTGTATATGTTAATTTTGTAAGGGATTAAATGGTGTGTTTATCTATATATTAAAGGCTTTTTTAATGTTAACATTATAGACAAATTAAATATGTGCTCGGGTAATATATTAAAAATCAAATAATATGTTAGTGTTTATATTTTTGGAGTTTCTATAAATTTTATTAATATATAAATTATCACCCAAGCTGATAATGTCAAGTGTTAAATTTTATTTCATGATGGATACATCACATATACTCTAGAAGATCATAGAAGGTTCAAGTAGATCCAAGACATCTTATATGTGAAAATCAAACTGAATCCTACAATTCCTAAATTTGATAAATTTCTCTCTTACACATCTATAATTCTCTCGACGCGATTCAATATGTTCTTGAAGATTCGAAGCATGATTCAAGTGGATTTAACAAAGATATTCTTGAAGATCAGAAGCGTGATTCAAGTGCATTTAACAAGACTGTCGTTTAAAAATATAAAAAAAAAATATTATAGTTAGTGGACCAAAATTCATACTCACCGAGTTTTCTATACTCTTGTCCCAGAGAATCTTGTCAAAGGAACGGACCGTGCAATTTCATCTTCATAATCATTTTTCTTGTTTGTGCTTCTCAAAGGATTCTATAGTTCCAAATGAGTATATATGGACTAAGTAATGTTGAGTATATACATAGGTGATTTCAATTATAAAACCTATTGATTGTGAGTATCCTTCACTGGGTCATTAGTTTTTGTTGATGAATGAGGCACGAC